TGGCCTCTTCTTCCTTCTCGTGCCAGGAGGTCATGAACCTCTCAGCTCCCTGCAGCACCGCCGCATGCCAGTGTACTCCCCCCTCTACCTTCGCGACTTCCTTCCACTTTAACTTCGGTGCCGTGTCGTTCGGTACCGGGATTCCGAGACAACATGGATCGGTTTTCGTAGATCCGTGGTCGGCCCCGAATGCCTTCAGGTCGTCGAGCACACACTTCGGCCAGTTCTGTTCCTGTGCCCGCCTACGTCGCTTCTCCCCCCCTGCCAATTCGCCGAACATGAGTCGTTCAGGGAGTCGCCCGTCCTATAGTCTAGACTATAGACTATGCTGCTGTTTTTTATCTCTTTCGTCCTTTCCCTGGCGAAGATGTCGTTCGAGTTTCCAACCGTTCGCAGCACAGCTAAGCGGCACATAGGCTATGCATATCTCTCAAAAAGGATCAACGAAACGAGCACCGTGGTACAGCAGGAGGTCATCATGTGAGATATCTGCAACACGCCCACGACAAGGTATGAGAGAGAGAGACACAGACAGACACACAGAGAGAGAGGCAGAGAGATAGACAGGCAGAGACAGAGCCGGAGAGCGAAATAAGGTAAACGAGCACGGAAGGGAGTGAGGAAGGGAAAAGTCTGCAACTGCACTATGGGCTGGTGTTGCCGGAAATCTGCTCTGCTCTGATGGTCTGGTCGTGTTTTCTGTTTTCGTGTTTTCCGGTGACCTACATAGAAACGGCCAGCGTGCTGCGGAGTTCTGACGCACACAGGAGCGACGTGATTCATGCTTGTTGATCAAAGAGGCTTCTGTGTGGATCAAAGAGACGGGACGAGGCAGGGACAAAACGCATTCAACAGCCGAACAGCCGCCAACAGAAAAAAAGTACAGAACGAACAAGGGTCATGTGCCGATTCGGAGAGCGATGACCCCAAGTTTCCGGTTCCAGGATAAAAATTCCGCCGCATTTTGTTCAGATTTTGTTTTCGGGCATCGACAGCAAGGCTGCCCCCATCCTGTCATTACCACACCTTTCTCTCTCCACCCTGTACTCCTCCCCTTGGCACGCCCCAACCCTGCACTATCTTACGGACTACTGAGGAGGATCAAGCCGTCGATTGTAGCCAGAGAGAGCTTCTGGAACCAGCGTACAGCAAACAACCACCAACATCGAGAATACACTAGCATCAGCATCAGCAGCAGCAGCATGTCGAGCACAGCAGCAGTATCCTTGGCGGCGCTGTCGGTCGTCCTAGGCTTGACCACCACGCCTTGCTCAGGTGGCACTTCCCTGCGCGGATCGGCCATGACCGCAGACACCGTGGTGGGAAGGAGGGTGAACTACGGCGGCGGCGAGAGTGGTCTTCTTGGGGCCGGAAGCAGCGGTGGGTACCGACATCATCTGGAGGTGCAACCAGCGGCGACGGCCAATCAGAGCAAGAAGAACGGCGGCTCCAAGAGGGCTAAGAAGAGCAAGGAGAGCAAGAAGGCCGGGCGTGCCAAGAAGTCTAAGAAGAGCAAGGTCAGGGCTAACAAGGGAGGCGGCCGCAGGCTACAACAAGCGTCCACCGACGGCGCCCTGCTGCCGGCGTGCGCTAGCCTGTTCGTTCCTACGGGGGCCGGGGACGAACTGACCGGCACGTACGACTTCCAGGGCCACTACAGCGACCGGAGGCCGGTCTACGCCGCCGCAAACGGCAACAAGTTCTTCGCGAAAGACGAGGAGGGGGTGCCTACCACGTGGTACGTCACCCAGGCGTCGCCCAATTCCACGTTCTTCCTGTCCCTCGAATCGGCCGTTTTCGAGCCGGCCGACCTGGAGGACCTGCAGCCCTGGGTCAGGAACAACGACCCCACCTGCAGGTCGTGCATCTCGAAGCTCAGCATGTCGTGCTCAGCCTTGACCGCCGACGCAATCCCCACGGCGCCGGAGACCACCACCCCAGCGCCCAATGACCCGGTCCCCTCTTCGCCTGCGGAGAACGAGAACTTGACGATGTCCACCGCGGAGACCGTCGTCCCCCCGGCAACAACGCCGGCACCTACCGATCTCCCCCCGGACACGACGATGGCCGACACGTCCGCGGTCGGCGGCTGCGCGAACCTCAAGATCAACAACGGCGAGGACCGGGCGGGCGTCTACTCCCTCAGCGACGTCGACGGCGAGGGCGGGGTCGTCTTCCGGAACGGTAGGCCGAGCTACGCCGCCGTCGGCGCCAACCGGACGGACGTCGTCTTCTCCACCATGATGAACGTTTGCGCGTCCGGGTACGGCGTGGTGGACGCCGACTGGGCCAACCACGTGGGGTACCTGCCCCCGACCTCCACTGTGAACGCCGTCTTCCTCATGTACGTGGCCGAGAACGTCGGCGTGGACACCGCCGACGACGCCGCCGCCGCCATCGCCACCGCCGCCGCCTCCTCTGACAACGACGGCTGCGAGGTGCCCGTCTGGCTCCTGGTCGCGGACGGCGCCGAGAGCCTCGATGCCGCGGGGGAGAACACGTTCCTGTCGGTGTCCGGGGTCGACGACCCTTCCGAGGCGACCTCGTGGGCCAAGTTCACGCCGGCGACGAGCACCACGCGCCCGACCCTCGAGGAGAACTTCTGGATCGACGTCGGCTGCGCGGCTGCTGGCGAGGTGGAGGAGGCGTCGGCAGCAGCAGTGGCCACGGGATACGGTGGAGAGGAAGAGCAGGGTACTGCTAGCCTGTGGAGTAACTCTACCGCGCTGGTGCCGGTAGGGTGGGAGCCCAACGCTCGCTGGCTGTCGACCATGCTCGCTTTGTGAAATGCGGATCGTGGGTGGGTGCAGTCTTGTTTTACGCCCGGCGTTGGGTGGAGTGAAGGATCAATGTAGAGGTGATGCGATTCGCGTGCGTTTGTCGTGTTTTTCGTGTTGTTAAAATGTGTGTGGGGATTTTTACTCGGCTTGGTCTTGGTTTGGTTGAGAAAATGCAGCCCGTATCGTTCCATCCAATGTGTTGCGGTCGTCTGGCGTTGTTCGTTGATTGATGTTACTATCCATTTCGGTGTGTCTATTTCTGTGCACGATGCGTGGGTTAGTTTTTGTCTTGGCGAGAAAGGAGGATTGTAACAGCTGTTTTCTCCTGGGCGTCTTGATATGCCCTCCTCGGCTCTTGCTTAAGAAAAAAGCAGCGGCAGCAGCACTAGTAGTAGTACATATACCGTTCCTCGTGCTTTCTTGCAAAAGGACCAGTGCTTTCTTTAATCGATCTGGGCTTGCTTTTTTATTAGGTCTTGAATTTATTGCTTTGGGTGCCGTGAGTTTGGTATCCGCAGTTAGTTGCGGTGTTTGCTTGCTTGTCGGTGTATGGCGACGGTGTTGCTTTGTATCCGATGCTCTTGCAAGGGGGGCGGTTTTCACGTTGGGCCGCCTTAGAAACAAGGTGCGTGCGGGGCGGGCTTGCATTGTTTGAAAATGCATGTGTTTTGATGTGGTTGGTTGTGGCTACGTGAGCGTAGCTCTTTTGATGAGAGTACATTCTTGCGGCATCAATTTGTCGCCGGGCTCCGCTTCACGGTAGCCCGAAACGATGAGAGAGAACGGTTAATAAAAAACATTGAAATAACATTTTTTTGACGTCCGTCATCATTGCCCCATGAAGTTATTGCAATCGAGGCCGATGAGGGGCCTTTGCTCGATTTCTTGGGCATGTATGCGGAGCGGGGGATTGTTGCAACGGGGCCAATTGATGGGCCCCTTGCTCAACTTGCGCCTCGACGGCGGCCCGGCTCGCTTGCGTAAGGCGGTCGGGTCGGCCTTGCTCACGCTCTTTTTCGCAAAAAACGCGATTCATGATGCGAAAGAGGCACTTTCATGTGTTCGCCAACAGAAGCCACGATATCGTCGTGATTGCGCCTTGCCTGATCCTCCTTCTTGCTGGGTTTCATTTTTTTTCACATCATCGCCATCCTTTGCTTAAAATTGCGTTTCACCCCACAAAATATATGGTCGCTTGAGTTCTCACCACAAGTAGATCGTAGATTTTTCAACGCCCCGCCCACTTCCTACGCCGCTTGACCTGTAGATGCCAAAAACATCACACGCCTGCTGAGAAAAATTCTAACCCTTGGGACGCAAACCTTGATTTGTGAAAAGAACTCATCTGTACTCTTCTGTACCCTCAACCAAATAAGTGTACACGCGACGGCAAGAGAACCCCCCCCCCCCATCTTCTAGGACCGCCGTGGTGTTGATGGGCCTCAAATGGCACCACCTACAAAATCAAGATCGTACCGCCGGAGCAGGTGAAAAAAAAATGTTCAACAACGAGCAGGAGCACGCCGTGTAGATGTTGGCACCACCCACGTGAGCACGCTCTTGTAGGGAGCAGGCACCACAGCTACACAAGCTCCATTATTGTGCTTCGCGCAAACACAACACGAGCAAAAATCCAAGCGCTCACCCTTCAACCAAAGCCAGCCAGCTCCTTGCACGGCAAACAGCGAGCACGCTCCCTACCGATCTACCCCACCTCTAGACTAGTAACGTACACGAGAACGCCCGCTTGCACATACATGGACGCCTTAGATCGCCGCCACCCTCCGCCCCCCCCCCCCCCCCCCCCCCCCCCCCCCCCCCCCCCCCCCCCCCCCNCGAGAGATAGACCCCGTCACGCGAGCTCCCAACTCGCGGGCCGCCTCTTGCGTTTCCGTGCGTTTCATCCTATTAGGCGTTCGTAGGTTGGCAGGGGCGGGGAGGGGTCAGATTGTGGTGCTGGGGGACGAGGGATGATGGGGCGTGGGTTTACTCTGCGGGTCCCTTGGGTTCCTTTGTTAGGGTTTCGAACAAAAAAAAGCCGCTTCAGCGATCCGTCAACTTGCCGTCGGTTCTTCGTTTACGAGGTCATCCAGATGGAATAGGGGCGGAAACGATGTCTATACAGACTCCCATTCCCGAGCCTCCTCCCGTACGACGTCAGGCGTGATACATAGATAAACGAGGGAGGCGAGCAAGGAGGGCAGGTATATTGTTTCTGACGCTGCTGTCCACCAGGAGGCCGTCAAGAAAAGAACTCGAACGAGGTGGTGCGATGATAAACCAAACCGGGTTGATGATTGGCGTCGGAGAGGGAAGAGGGGGCGGCGAAGCGTGGCATTTACGGACACCCATACAAAAGACCTTAGTCGTCCCCGCATACAGTAGTAGGAATCAATCAATCAACCCCGCAGCAGCTGCGTCCAAAAATTTCCGCGGCAACAAGACACAGCGGGGCGAGTACCGATTTGCATGGCCCACAGCGGAGTGAGCACTCCGGAAAAACCAAACAAACAAAAAAACAACCCCTGAGCCATATATTGCACACACGACACTTCACACCACTGCCATCTCCTCACCCCCCCCCCCAAAAAAAAAAAACGCACAACCATGAGCATGCCTCCACGCACAACCGAAAATCTCCACGACTCCCCCCACCTCGCCCTTCAGGTTTCAGCCCTGTCTCACTCGCCTGCGTCTTGAAGTCTGCGATAAGCGAGCGGACGCTGTTGTACTTGACGCTGGTCTCAACGAAGGTGTCCGGCCGCCTGTGCTGCTGCTGCGCTCTCACCGCCGCCGCCTGGCTGC